CTTATAAGATTACTGTCAAAAACAGGAATTAGCAAGAATAGTTTGATATGTGTAATGAGTAATATGAAGTTGTTCATGACTTTCCTCTCTGCATTTTCGTTCAGAATCATCTGTGATTATTCGGCACTTTTTTTATTCTAAGTCGCCCGAAGGATAAGGGTGCCAAGCCGGACCTCACACAAGAAGGGGAAAGCGCTTAACGCAAAGTACTACTGCTAGCACTTGAGGTTGCCAACTGCAGCAAAAGCTATGAATGTTCGGCTTGCATCCAGCAGCTCGGAATTCCTAACAACAACAGTCTTCTAGGCCGCCCGCTCGCGATGGGATAGCTTCCCATAGACCTCGTGACATCGCCCAACTTTCATTTCTAATTGTTACTTGATGGTGCAGTTTTCACTACTACCTCTCTCCACTACGAATGGTGACAGTGAGGGGCTGGGGGCAAAGGGCTGATATCGCTATAATACCAGCGTTGAAAACTCGGTCGACCACCACGGCCTCTCATGCATGTACAAGCGTCGTTGAACAAGAGCGCCTGTGAGACAAATCGTATTTTTTTTCCGCTTTTTCTCACATTTATCTTATTCGTCATGTTGCCGCGAGCATTTAAGCCACACATCTAGCCTTTTTTGAACGTGAAGCGTGTCTTCAACGTACAGTAGCGCACATATAGGTATCGGGCCAAACGCTTTTTCGGCCATAACTTTTTTCTCACCCAAGCGATTTCTTTCAAATTTTAGTATGTCAAACCTACCATTGTTACCAGTGAACAATCGTAGTTGTCTCCGAACACAGTGCACGGTCTACAATTTTTTGCGTAAGACCAATTTCAGTGTTCACAAGGCTACCATTGCAAATTTTTCATGTTTTAAAGAGTTCTATGACATTGGTCCTGAGTGTCAAAAATTGTTCAGCTCCTCTCTTTGACTAGAAAGAAGATTGATCTTTGGACACAATAAATTTGCCATGAAGATGAAAAATGTCGGCGAAAAAGGCGCCATATTTTAGTGCTGAACAGCGGGTTCTTGATCATACACCTACCATTTAACCCTAGCACTCTCAATGTTCTTCCAGCATCCATTTGCTGAGATTTACCTCATTAATGCTGTTAAACTTGGCTTTGAAGTTGAGGCATGTGGTTTCGGAATCAGTCTGCGAGCGGTGGTTGGTCATTTACCAGTTTGGTGACGCGCATTACTGCGCGAATGGTTAAACCTATGGTACTGACAATGGCAGAATTTTTGTGGTGACCCCTAACACTTCGCTTTATTCCCATGCTTCGAAACACGGCCCATTTCATCATAATTCTCCTCTTTGATGAACATTTGCCAACGTATGGTGCTTATCACAACACTCACCATTCGTTGGAAATGGGACAGCTTAGCGGTTGAAAGAGTTTCAATGGTAACAATATCGGAATCATAGTGAAATGTTCTTACATCCTAGTACTTCCGTGAGCAGCTTTCACATATCGGTCTATTGGCGACTCTTATCATTCCTCACTGGCAAACAATTTTAGGCTTTTACTTCTGGGTGGTACTCGAGAGTTTAGCGGTCGGATCAATTCCGACTACATCCTAAGGGATAGGAACATCTCGGCTCACTAAGGTTTGGCCCATTAATTCTTGGGTCACGGTGGTCAAGTTCAGTCGCAGGCAGAGTAAAGATGCAGCTCCCCGTTGTTGCTCCGACCCCTTTTTTAACAGTGGTCAACACAGTACTGATGTTGAGTTATTTGGGAGTGATACCATTTGATGAAAGGTCAGCCCGGCAACGCAAATAACCGTGGTTATTCCCCGGCGGGCCAAAGTAGCTGCCTCTTTGATCTGAATGCGAACCACAGGCGTAAGACCCAGGCGCGGGTAAGCGGTTAGATAGAAGACCGGCACCTGTTGAACATTTATGATTCCATATGTGTATTGCTGGTCACGGTCACGTTATCGTTAAAAAAAGCACTTCTGACGCATGGCCGCATTTGGTCTTTCCACGCTGACTTCACCGAGACGAGTAAATTGGATGTCGATATTCGTGCTTGATTTCTACCCCATTCAGAACATTTTCAATTTTATTTCGACGACGCAATATACGAGAAATGCACATCTGTGCAGTACTGCTCTCCATCAAAGGTAAGATATTTTTTCGAGAGTATACTTCTCATGGCGATCGCTTTTGCATCTATATGTGTAGCCACCTTCTTTCAAACTGTCGCCTTTTCGTATCTAAAAAATTCCCGTAGCCTGTTGGGATATGTGAAAGCATCTGAAAAAATCAAAACGCAAGGTAAGGAGAGCCTCCAGAAAGAAAGTAAAGGAAAAGTCAAATAGCAAAATTCACTGACATTCAGGAGAAAGTGACGGAGAGCCCGAGAGTACCATGAAAAGAGTTAATATCATAGCAAAAGCGGATTGAGAAACAGTTACTGAGCGCAGTTCGGTGACGGGGAAGGGGTTTTGCAATTTTGCTACTTCCCATCAAAGTGTCGACCCATCTGGACAACCTCCTCTCGAGTTGCAGGTTCTTGATGAGCTTGCTCCAGCCTCACAAGTGCTCACAAGTTTAGTGATGTTTGGAAAGCGGAACTAGTGAAGCAACGAAATGCAAAATGCCCCTCTCCTTCCCGAACTGCGCCCAGTTATTCAGTGATTGGGCACAATATCTGCAAACTCGCTACCCAGAGAGTGATTTTAGAACAACTTCTTTCTGACCCAGCCAGCAGAGTGGCGGAGGATCGGGTCAAAGTCTTTGACACGTTGCGGACCGTCGTATCGTACTGTAGTTTTGGTAGCGAAGGTTTAGATGCATATCAGCAAAACTAAGACAAAAAATCGGACAAGTGAGAGAAGTGAAAGGCAAAAAGCAGAGGGGTGGACGAAGAAATACATTAATGTACGTGTTTTAATAATTCGGTGTTATTCTGTGCCTTCCGAGAACAGATGGTCGCTGGGAGGTGATGGGGAAAAGGGAGTGCGCGGGTCAGACAAGAAGAAGCTGACAGTTATTTGCACCAGAAGTAGAGAATGCTCTGTCAAAGATGTATTGATGTGAAATAAACGATAAATTTGACAAAATATTGTTTCTTACCCAAGTTCCTCGATCTGAGGCACATGCAATTACTCGAATAGTTTGACTATCTCCAGAAATGTAGCACTTGAGTACAAAATGACCATCCACCTAGTATAAAATGAAAGCAAGAGTATGCCGATTGAGAAACGTACTAACAAAGGGAGGTCTTTCAGGTCGTGGCGGGCTTTTTGGAAATGGTTTGTTGCTTGCTGTAGGGGTCCATACAAGGGTCACAAAAATGGGTTTCATTTTTGCTATGCGTTTCTGGGGAGGTCAAAAACTGAGTGAAAAAATTGGACAAGTATGGGCGATTTTAACTATCATAATGGGCTCCGTTCTAATTGTAACCTCGAGCATGCATAGTTTATGAGGTGCTCATTAATAAGGCTTCAGAAATGGTTTTAAATAAAGTCAAAATGTAAGTATCATGTAGTAACACACTTGGCATGCACCGACGCAACAGTGATGTTTTTGTCAGCGGTCCCCTCATGCTCACTGTCGGCGGATCGGATGGCGCAGCGGATAACTCGATGGATTCTGGATGAGACGACGATACGACACTTCATTAGAACTATTTTCGAAGCCTAATTAACGAGCACCTCATAAACTATGCATGCTCGAAGTTACAATCAGAACGGAGCCCATTAAGATAGTTAAAATCGCCCATTCTTGTCAAATTTTTTCACTCAGTTTTTGACCTCCCCAGAAACGCATAGCAAAAATGAAACCCATTTTTGTGATCCTTGTATGGACCCCTACAACAAGCAACAAACCATTTCCAAAAAGCGCGCCACAACCTGAAAGACCTTCCTTGTAAGATACAGCGAAGTTCGCTGCGGAGGAAGGGGCGTGCCGGGCGGGATGATCTTAGCTTGGTTTCAAACCCGTTCTCCACTGTTGTCGAAGCGATCAAGTGTTAAGACTGCATCATATCGTTCGTATCGTCGTTTTTTGGCAACTGTTGTCGCATAATCGCTCCAACAGTTAGCAGAGAACGGGTTTGGCGCCGTGGCTCACTCGCGCTGCCTGTCAGCCCCTTCACCCGTAGCAAACCGGAGTATATAAGGATTTTCACAGAAAGAAAAACGAACAAGAGAAAAATCTTGATTTTAGCTCCTGTTTTCTCGAATCTTTCTCTTGTCTCCAACAAGAGACCCGACCAACTGCCGAACGGCAACACAGAATGGTTATGGGACCCTTGTCGGAACCTGACCACGGAAAATTCACAAGTGGTATCTCGCATTGCTGCTACATTGATAGCGCAGCAAATTGGGCGTAAGGGCCAAGGTTGTACCGTGCTTATCCAAAAGAGAGCTTTCTGTAGCTTACCAAAACTTGATAAGCAAACAGCATTAGGATACGGCGGGAAAGCGGAGAGTGACGGATCATGACTGACAACAGTAGCGAAACATGGAAGGCAGATGAAGGGCATATATTACGGATAGGGGAATATTTATCCAAGCTTCTTTCGCTGTGAATATGGGTTGGAGTCACTGCCCTCCATCGGTAACGATTGGAACGGGTTTGAAGAGTGTTGATGGGTGCGCTTGACACTGTACTGAGACATCACAGCTGTTAGTTCTTCCCTCCATCCTGATTTTTCATTATTAATTTTGCCTCTCTTACTTGCACCCCGTGCTCCCTATATCTCTTCACAAGCGAGTGGACACGCGACTTTCTTGTTCTTATAGAGTCAACGGTTAGGTACCAATCCTATTCTGACCAGGCATTCCGAAGGCCATTCATACTGCTCACGAAGCAAAGCAAATTTGTAATTTTTTGGATTATTCATTGCCAAATAGCAATTGTTAGGTCTTTCTGTGTAAGGAGTTTGGTTCTTACGGCCTTCAAACCTACCCATTTCTCATATTTACTCCGAGTTTTTCCCTTATAATAGCAGGTGTCGGCTGCGACGCAAAGAGGTAGAAGAGTTAGGAGTAGTAGAAGTTCGAACCTGAAAACCTGCAATTATTGCTTCCTCGAACAAAGCTTAAACAACAAAATCTGACAGCTATCACAAGAATGCTGAGTTATGGGCAAAAGTCGGACCACGGACGGGATTCGAACCCGCATCTTCTGCTTTCCGTGCAGTTGCGTTCCCTATTACGCTACCGAGGCCACTTTTGACCACTCAGCTCAATGGCTATTTGTGCCATAGCCTTACAGCACTCACACGTTCAACGTGATGAGCCGGTTAGCCGATATCGGCAGTGAACCGCAAGGCTGAAGGCTCGAGTGTCAGTGGCCTTGGTGCGTAATAGGGAACGCATTGCGCACGGAAAGCAGAAGATGCGGGTTCGAATCCCGTCCGTGGTCCGACTTTTGCCCATAACTCAGCATTCTTGTGATAGCTTTCGAATCGCGTACTGCGGCGTTAAACAGCAGTTAACAAACAATATCAGCTTGAAAAATCTGACAGCATTAAAACTACTCAGTTTATTAGTGGATTTTTACTGTAAGAATAGCATTCTGGCTAGAGCCTGCTGTCTTAGAAAACATCTAGTTCTCCATTTGTAGGTCATTCTGTTTACAAACACACTTTTACGGTCGAATAATCCAAAGCCTGAATGTCAGGAGGGGCAAGAGCAGCGTCCTAGGATGAAAGACTGACAGGCCAGGGTTCTGCTCTAGGGAAGTGAAGATTTCGCAAATTTGCTCTGTTTCAAGCTCAATAACTCACAAATTCTTATCAACTGACCTCATATGAATCGCAACGTAGTGAAGAAGTGAATGACGGCAAATGAATCTCGCAGTTCACCGTGCTTTTATATTATAAAAGGTATGGCCAAGTGAGCTGATGAATTATGTACGCCTGTTTGTGCGCAAATAAATTCACAACTCTCTCTAATGTTTTTTTTACAGTCTCTCTGACAGGTAGAAAAAATGATTATACAGTGGAAAAGCATAATTAAGGAAAATAGTGAGCTCAGAATACAAGCGCTCATTGAGCCTTCTGAAAGCACGCATCATTAGTCGCTACTCACATTCACATATTTAACGAGAACCTGGTTCTGGCCAGCGGGTTTTAGGCACGTTTTAAACACTTATTTGAATATTTTAACTTGGATATCTGTTTTTGTTATAGGTCTTGTCTGACATTTGATTTTTCTTATGGTAGTGAGGTTGCTCACTTTTTCCTCTGGAACGGACAGAGGAAATAGAGTTCTCAACGACATGGATCACTTAACTATCGAGGCTGATAATGAGAGGATTAGATAAAGCCTTGCCGTTGATCAAGCCTTTTTTAGGATGCGGCACGCATTCTTCTTCTGTTGATAGTTGTGGATTATTGAATGCAATGTGATTCGCAGGAGCCAGTCCAGCAGGCCAGTATCCTAATCCTACTAAATAATCTGGTACCTATTTTACCGTCCCTGGATAGTAGAAGACTTGGTCGGCCTGGATGGGAGCCGATCCGGGATTTGACCCCACATCGCGCCCGTGGCACATGCCACCACACTAACTCCGCTCAGCAATCACGCAAACGCTTCAAAAAATAGGATACCTCAATGGAAAGACCTGGCAATCAAAACTATTCAATAGTGTCGTGGTAACTAGCTTGAAACTGAAGTCAAATAAATAATTTTTGTGTTTATTTCTTTTTTTATTGCTGCACTCTATAATTTATTTATACAGTTGATATAATAAACGCAGTCAGTCGGATAGCAGTCAGCGGTCCCCATCTGCGCCCTTCCCACCACTAGTTGTTCTCTTCCTGAACAGATTTCTACCCCATCACCATTGGTAGAGCGAGGCTGACGGACGCGGATTTTCCGCCCTGCTGACTCCGTCTCCGCTGATTGCAATATTACAGACATATAGAACAAGTAATAAAAGCTCCACGTGCGGCAGGTCGGTTCCCTGATGGCTGGCTGATGCCACTCACTTTTGGCTGGCGGCTCAGCTTTTTGAAGTGCATAGGTTATAAAATTAGCTGAAATTTGTATACAGGGGCAATTTAACATCCTGTTGCGAATATGGCGCTCATTCTTGGCGCTAGCGCTAATGGAGGACGCTACTCTGCCAAGGGGTCCAGAAGAGAATCGTCTTGTCTTCCATTAGTGCCAGCGCCGAGAGTGAATGCCATATTCAAAATCAGAATGTTAAGTTACCCCTATACTTCTCGACGGATTTGGTAATTTGAGCACTTCAAAAACGTGCCGACAGCCAGAAGTGAGCGCGTTAAACGGCATCAGCCTTGATGGCTGGGCCACGAGACCTCAGGCGCGCTTACCAATGTGCACTGCGCTGAAAAAATTACCAGGTCACGGGCACGAACTCTTCTGTGACTGCATTGCGCGCATCGCATTGACGAAAATATGCCGCCACACCTGCTCACCTATTCTTAGAACAGCGATAGCTTTTTATAAGTAGCCTATTAGGAAAAAATAACGAGATCGTGAAGAGCAAGGTTACCGCTTCTCACCAAAATAACCATAAAAGGGAGACAGTGGAGATGCAGCAGAGACTATTGGAATTACGCACGAGTTTTCGTGCTTCGAGTGGTTTAAATGTATGAGCAGCAGCTCTGAAAAGGACACGATTTCTCCCTTCAGAAATGCAGGCACAGGGTTTTTTTGCTGACAACTCCGGCCCTCATCACGGCAAATGTTCTGCTCCGGTACATTTTTGGGGGAAAGTTTGCAGTCCACTCAAAAATCCGTCTTGTCTGTATCGTTGTAAGCGAAGAAGACGGGTGCAAGACTGGTCCGCTGTTGCTGTAAAAGGCCTTTTTCTCAGCTCAAAAGTGCACACGAATGAGGCTGTATGGCTGTGGTGCGTGCATAAGTGCCGCCTCATACACCGTTAGCGCTATTCTCAAGGTGCAGCACTTGCATCGATATCGAGGTCCCGGTGGGAAACATGCACTCAGCGGTCCAGAACAACCAGAAGTGAGAGAGCGCAGGCCAGTAGCGCCGTTTGGCCTATACTCAGCTTGTGGTGCTGATCGTGCGCATAAAGACGTGCACTTTTTACCGGAGAAGGTCGCACATTACTGCAGCTGCAGACTCATTCTCTCCCCCTCCCCCTCACGATAGGGATCAAGAATCATTCTGGTTAAATGTTAAAAAGACCGAGTACTTGACAACCAGTCAAAATGACTTCGGCTTCATTAGAATCGGTGACCAGAGCTCAAGCGCACAAGAACATTCCAGTATCTGGGATCAGCAGTTGCCTCTGATGGCGTTCTGAACTCAGAAGTGAGCGCGCGAGTGAGTCTGGCATGGTCTAAAATTGCAATTTATGGTTTTGCGACTCTTCTGCAAACTTAGAATAATGCCAGAAGGCGCCTTCAAGTCGAAAGTCTAAAGGATCTGTTCGTTGCTGGCTTCGATACCAAGGAATATTTAAAGCTCGCCTTGGTGTGATGGAGATGAAACGTAGCGCTGGACGGCTGGCGTCACGCAATCGGACCGTATTTGTGACGAAGTCGTGCGCAACAACTGGAGTAGCTGACAAAATGCGAGAAGCGCGCCCTATATGGTACGAGCATGAGCCTCGCGGCTGACACCGTCCGTAAAACCGGTCTTCAGCTCGAAAGGGTACTCGAAAAAGGGCCAAAAATGCGTTCCAAACAACGCTGGCTCGGAAAATAGACGGCATTCACCCCGTTCAGACATTCAATTGGGAGAGGGGGCGTTATTCAGGAAGGACGCCGCCATCGAGTGGGACAAAAGAGACAAACGATGAAGAAGAAGTGGTAGTAGTAGTGGTAGTAGTAGTTTAGATAGTAGTGGTGAGTGCTACGTTGGCGACCTTCAACCTCTCATTTGAAAAAAAGTTCGCTTGAACTTCAAAGTTCCTTCACATCAGTCACAACAAAACGGCAGAGTAGTGTAAACATAAAAACAGTTTATTGAATAAATTCGAAACTTTTCAGACAGTAATCCATCGTAATTCGACACCTCCTCCTCCAACGTCGTTGCAGTTATATCTTTTATTTCCCTCAACCAGGGATCCACCGACATTAATCTTGAAAAGTATTTACTCACTAAAAACGCTTAAAAAAGGAAAAAGTTAGACATATTGGTGTGTAGTAGGTAGTCAAACGGAGTCTAGAGGCAGGTGTGTAGAGGTGGACAGTAGAATTGTCATGTTGGTATAGAGAAAGAGATGCGAGCGTTCACTCGATTCATTGGCGTCATATCTGGAAGTCCCT